AGGGGTAGACAGGGGGCCAGGGCAGGGTTGCCTGTGCCTGGGGTTGGGGTGGTCGGGGGCCAGGGCAGGGTTGCCTGGGGTTAGGGGTGGTCGGGGGCCAGGGCAGGGCTGCCTGGGCCAGGGGTAGACAGGGGGCCAGGGCAGGGTTGCCTGGGGCGGAAGGTGGGGTGGTCGGGGGCCAGGGCAGGGACACTATCTCACATGACTCTGTTGACACAGACACATGACATGGTGCATTTGTGAAAACCCTGTGAACTGTGCAACACAGAGGGACCCTGAACATCAACCGGGACTTCAGTCAGTGACTGCTGGAGTTGGTCCAACCCACGCGACCCCACACGACCCCTCGCGTCCGAGCAGAGCTGTGTGCCACGCGGGCTGAGAAGCAGAACACCAGGCCCAACTCCCACAGCGTCTCTGAACTGCCAGCCTTCCAGCTAGTCGTCCAGCACCGAACCACCTGTCCACCCAGACACTCCTCGGTGTATAATATACATCCCCATACACACACTCAATGTACAGATCTGACACACCTGTCCATAGAACACTGGGTGTGTACATGCATATATACACATACACGCATAACACACGTGCCTGGTACACACATATAATGGATATACAATGCGTAATACATGCACATGAGTGTACACACACAGTTAACATGCATCGATGACACATACATAACAGATACACATAACACAAGTACAAATACATACACACACACGCATCCATGTACCCACACTGGTTCCCCAATAGTAACAATATACCATGTGGCACAGGATGCCGCCAACAGGAGAGACTGAGGGAGGAACTCGGCAGCTCTCTGTACTCAGCCTAAATTTTCTATACACCTAAGACTGCTCTAAGAAATAAAGTTCGTTTGAAGAAAAAAAGAACAACCAAAACCTTCGCCAGGCTGAGGCCAGAAGACACCGCCCAGACCTCTTCCAGCTCCACAGCCCCGTACCCAGGCGTCTACTCCACAGGGCCCTGGAGCGTTGACCCAGCACCCAGATTTGTGCACCACTCCATTCTGAGCACGAGGCCACTGTGTCCCCAGGCCCAGTGTGGGCATGGCATTGGCACTGCTGTGCTGAGCTCACACCCGTGTCCCACCCAGTGGGAAAACCTCGTGTGACCGCTGCTCCCTCCATGTGCCACCCCCGCCTCCAGCACCCACCGCCCCGAGCGGGGCCCCTGCGCTGACCCTGCAGTCCCTCAGCCGAGCACTCACCAGGCACACTCCTGACTTGAGGCCTCCCATCCTCCCCCTATCCCTTCCCCTCTCCCCTCTCTTCTCAAATGGCCCCTGCTGAGAGGCTTTGGCTGACTGCCGTCCACCCAGCCCTTGGTGCTGCACGATTCCTTTTCATACCCAACCATCTAGTGCTAAGGAGCTCCAGTGGCGCAGTGGTAAGACGTTTGGCTGCTAACCAGAAGGTTGGCGGTTCAAACCCATCGACAATCTACTTCAGTAAAGATTTACAGCCTTGGAAACCCAGTGGGGGATGCTGTGGGTCAGAATGGACTCCAGGCAGTGGGTGTGGTTTGGGCTTTGCTTCTGTGAAGATTGACAGCCTTGGAGACCCTGTGGGCAGTTCCACTCTGTCCTCTAGGGGCGCTGTGGGTCAGAATGGACTCCAGGCAGTGGATGTGGTTTGGGCTTTGCTTCTGTGAAGACTGACAGCCTTGGAGACCCTGTGGGCAGTTCCACTCTGTCCTCTAGGGGCGCTGTGGGTCGGAACGGACTCCCCGGCAGGGGGTTCTCTAGTGCTAGGTTTTCACATCATGGAGGTTCTCGGCAGGGCTCGCTCGCTGCCACATCCCAGAATCAGGGCTCTGTGCTGCCCTCAGTGGATGCTCACTAATCAGCGGCTAGGTGAACACATGCTTCGGAGGGCTCTGGGTCTACGCCTCCCAGCTCAGCAGAGACAAGGACATGCTGGGGGGCCAGGCCTGGAACAGAGCCCTGCGCCCACCACCAGAGACCTCTCCAGAAAGGGAGGTGCCTATGAGGCCACTGTGCCCCCTGCCCATTACAACGCCTGGGCCCAGCCTTGGGCATTCCGGGAGCCCAACGGAGGCCCCCAGAGACCAGTGACTGGCTTAGGGCACACCCCATGTATGAGAGGGACAGGCACCAGGAAGGGAAGCTGCTCCCTGGCTTGGAGCCCCACGGATGGCTCACACAGGCTGGCGGCAGTGGGCAGACTGCCAGCCGGCCATGAGCCTCTGCCCATGGCCAAGTGGGGCTCTGACCCCAGCACCCCCTCCTGGCCAAAGGTTTCAGGCTGCATGAATGAGGGGCAAGGTCCACTCTTTTGAAGGAGGGGCACTGGGTGAGGCAGATACGGGATGGGGCGCATGGGGCTGGCCCTCCAGCAGCGGAAGTAGCACTTCCTCCCCGGCCAGGTGGGGCCTCTCCAGGGCCAGGTATGCTGGGACAGGTTCAGCTCTCCTCCCAGGAGGTCTGGCCAGAAAAGGGGCAGGGCGTGGAGTCCACCCTGCAGCCCGCCGGCTGGAGCTGCTGGCCCAGGCGGGTCTGAGGGCACTGAAGAAGGAACTGAGCCCCACAGGATGGGGCTGGGGCTGGGAAGCGCCCCCTTGGGGGCAAGGTCTTCACATCACACCACGAGGCCACTGAACCCCCACACGTGTGGAAGCTACTAGCAGATCCGTGTTTCATGGTAGGGAAACTGAGGCGAGGAGAGGTGAGCTGCCCTCAGTTACCGGGCCGAGAGGAGGACGATCCCTCTCTACCCCGCCAGCTCCAACTCCAAGACCAGCCCAAGAGGCTCCTGCCACCGCCCCATGGCCGGGGGCTGCCATGCTCAGCCCAGGGGACAGCTGCAAGGCGGTCGTTCCATTTGACCACTGCGGAAACTGCGGCTGCGCAGGCAGCGGGCCGGACCCGGGGGGCACCTCCTCTGTCTTGCCCCATCGCGGGGCCACTCCCCGGACACTCTACCAGTGGCCGTCGCCCCTATGGCACGCACACCCCCACTGGGGCCGCGGGACGGGCCTCATCCTGGTCCCCACAGGACCTACTGTCTGCTTTCCTTTAGGTCTAGCCCAATTTCTGTCTGCCGCGGGGCCCGTGAGGGTCCGCCAGCCTCGGACAGTCCCTGGCTGAGCGGCCTGCAGGCGACCCGCGCCTCGGGCCAGGCTGCAAGCACACGGACGGCTCCGCGGGGCCTTCAGCGTGGGGCGACAGCGCCCCCTGCCGGACCCGCCGCGCGCCCCGCCCCGCCCCGCCCACAGTGCGTCCCGCCCCCGGGCGCGCGCTCCGCCCAGTCTCCTCCACGCGGGTCCAGCCTTGCAGATGGAGAAACCGAGGCCCAGTGGGCCCGTGCGGCCCAGCCCGGCCACTCACCCGCACGCGGTGCTCAGGGTCCCGCCGAGTAGGGAGCCGAAGATGAGGCCGACGCCGAAGCAGAGGCCCAGCCGGCCCAGCGCCGCAGGCCGCTCCTCGGGCGGGGACAGGTCCGTGATGACCATCTGGGCGGCTGCCGGGCAGGCGGGGGTTGAGCGCGGGGTCCCCCACGCTTCCCCCCCCCAACCCTCCCTGGCCAGGCCCCGCCCCGCAGCACCCTCACCCCGCCCCCTGGACCAGGCCCCGCCCCGCGGCACCCTCACCCCGCCCCCTGGACTAGGTCAGGTCCCGCGGGACCCCTCACCCCACTCCACCCTGGGAGAGGCCACGCCCCCACCTCCCCCAGGTCAGGCCCCGCCCCCCGCCCGGTCCCCGCCCCGCCCCGGCTCTCCGGCCCCACCTCCTCGCCTTACTTGGCAGCGCGTGCATGAAAGCGGCGGGCAGGCGCGAGGCGAACAGCAGGGCGACGCCGGGCAGGGCCGGGCTGCAGGCGGCAGCCAGGAGCAGGAAGAGCACGGAAGTCCCCAGGAAGGAGAGCGTGAACGCGGCCCTCGCCCCGTGCTGGTCTGCGAACCTGAGGCAAGGCGCAGTGTCAGCCGCCCGGGCGCACCCCTCCCAGACCAGGGCGGGGTCGCCACCCAGGACGCTCCAGGACTGGGGTCCCCACGCCTGCGACCCTCCCGGACTGGGGTCCCCACTCCTGCGACCTCCCGGACTGGGGTCTTCACCAGCACACGCACCCCAGGCCCCTGGGTCTGCAGGGAGCCGGGCCATTGTTGAGCTCTCCACACCCAGCCAGGGCTGATGGAGAGATTGGGGTGGGTGGAGGGTGGGCTGGGCCCCTGCCGGCCTCAGTTTCTCCATGGTCCCAGGGGGGCTGGCTAAGGGCTGTGGGTCTGGCCCTGGAGGTCACGTTCCCACCCCAGGTAAGAAGGAACTGTTGGCCCAAGTGGCCCAGGGTATGCGTGCTTTATGGGAACTGTGTCCCAGCTGGACCTGTCAACCCCCCGCCTCCCTGTCGGTGCTCTTCCTCGCCTGCGTGGGACCCCCCAGACTCTGCCTATTCCGGGTTGCTGCCTCACCCCATCTTTTCTGCCTGAACGGGACTCTAAAGGTTTGTCCCCTGTGAGCTGTCCTGTGCACGGTGACATCAGCCAGGGACAACGTAACCACCACGTCCCCAAGACCAGTGGGAATTTGGGGGCCACAGTCCCTGCATCCTCGGCTGGTCCCTGGTGTCACCTTTGCAAGAGAAGTTGACAGCAAGCTGTCCAGGTCAGGGGCTGGGAGTTTACCGCCAGCATGCTCACCATTAAACCCTCACTGGCCACAAACCCGCATTGCTTTCAGCTGTAAGGGGCCCAAGCTGCTCTGTGCCTCAGTTTACCCACCTCTGACTTAGAAGCCGCCATCTTGGCCACATGGGGCCATGTGAGAGGACCCAGCCTGAGACCTCTGAGGGGTGGGCAGGGCCATCCTGGGGTGAGGGCTCGCATGCCCCCCTCCTACGGTACCTGCCAAATACGGGTCCACCCAGCAGCTGGAGCACCCCGAAGGTGGTCTGCAGGTAGCCGAAGGCAACAGAGTCCAGGCCCAGGTTCCGGGCCAGGTACTGAAACACAGGAGGGGGCCCATGAGAGGGACCTCAGGACTGGGCATCCGAGGTCCTAGGTGGGTGGTGAGCAGGGCACTTGGGCTGTGAGGCGTCACCCACTGAAAGGTATGTGGGCAGGTGACAGCATCGTCCTTGCTTCCTCCCAGGTGCCTTGACGGCCGCTAGGAGGCTCCCATCGACAAGGAGGACAGGAGCCTGTTCTGTGTGGTCCCGCCCTGCAGCCCCGAGTCCTCCCACCCACCTACAGGATGCCCCAGCTCCCCCCCCTTGTGTGGCCCCAGGGCCCCAGGAACTGTGCTTCCTGGCCCCTGAGTTTCTGCCTCCCCCACCTCATAGCCAGACCCCCTTGCCTTCATCCCAGCAACCCTTCCCCAGGGAGGGCGGGAGGGCTGCTTCCTGCTCCTTCGGGCATTCAGGGCAGCCGTGCCACCTCCCCCCCTAGGTGTTCCCTCTGCCCGCATCTCGGGTACTGTCCCTCTTCCACCACCCCAGTCCTAACCTCCCACCACCATACCTGCCCACCTGCGGGCACCTGGGCCCCCGGGGGCCTGCCTACCTGATTCTCCCTCCCCGAGTGCATCCATCCCAGCCCCCTGCCACCTCCGGGTCAGGGATCGCGAAGGTCTCCCTTCTGCCCCCCAAGCTGCTCCTCCTCCGTCTTTCAAACGACCAGCCCCCTGCTCGGCTCCCCTCTGTAGCCACGATGCTCAGAAGAGCCACTGACCACTGACCGCCTGACTGCCTCCAGGCCTATCTCCTCTTCCCCTCCCCACTGCAGGCCTCACCCTCTCCCGGGGTCGTCACCCAGGCCCTGCATGCTGCTGCATTGGGGGCGGTTCTTTCCCTCCGCAGTGACCCCCTGCGTCACCTGTGCCTGCCCCACCTGCATCGGCTTCTGGGGAGCCCCTTGAGGTCACACATGGACCCCGCCTCTGTGCTGTTAAGTTACAGAGCGAGGTCTGTGCCTCCGGCAATCTCTGCTGAACTAACGCCACCCCACTGCCTGCCACACAGGCTTAAAGGCATCCAATGCAATACACCCAAAACTGGGCTCCCAGCATCCCCCAGACTGGCCCCATCTGGAGTGCCGACACCGCCATCCTTCCAAGCGCTCAGGCCCAGTCCTAAGGGCCATCCCTAGCTCCCTCTATCTCCCTCACCCCACGTCCAATCCCTCAGTCACTTCCACAACCTCCTCCAAGGCCACCATCTGTCACCTGGATTCCTCCAGGCATCTGGTCTGTCCTCTGCTGCCTCCTCACCCCCGGCCCCCAGGTGATTTAGGACATGGCAAGCATAAGTCCTAAGTGGCAGTGTGACTTCTAAGTCAGTGTGTCCGTCCCGGGGCTCACTGGTCTCAGCGTACAGTCCAGCGTACAGTCTGGCCTGCACTCCGGCTGCCCCAGGGCCTTCACACTGGCCTGTCCTTTTCCCTTCAAGCCCTGGCCCCTGCAGCCCCTCACCCTGACCTGCCATGTCTTTCTACAGCGTATGCTGTGATCTGACACATGGCACAGTGTGGTCACGTAAGTCCCTGCCTTACATACAGTGTATTCCAGTCAGAACAAACGCACTTGGACCGTCTGTGATTTTCCTTTGTACGTCTCGTGGTGGGTAACGTGGACTACGCACAATGTTGTGGACGCCAGCGTCCTCAGATATTCACTCCCAGACTGTTCAAAGCTTAGATTTGTAAAGATACTGAAAACTAGAGGCAGTCATAATGAAAACGAAAAAGAAAAAGCGGATCTGAGCCGACTTAGCATGGAGTTGCAGGAATGAAACCTCGTCTCGCTGCAGGAAGCTTCCTGCTGGAGGCCTGCCCCCGCCCCTCCGCGCCACCCGCCCGGGGTCAGCTCCTGGCACGCGCTCCGATACCTTCTGCGCGCTGAGAACCCCGTGTGCTCCCCACACAGGCTTAGCTGGGATTTGGGCAACAATGAGGTGACTCTTCCCCTTCAAGGGAGACAATGGTGAGGATGGCTTGGTAGACGCTAGTTCACCCCGCTCTGTGTCAGCCTGTCCGGGGCTTTAAACGCTCACTCCTCACTCTGAGCACTGATCCCAAGGACAGGCTGGGACTGTCCCTTTTCTGATGACGAAACCAAGGCTGCTTGCCCAGGGCCACTGGGCTCAGCCATGGAAGGGCGTGGAGTGCCAAGCCAGGCCTGAGAAGACTTTGGGACGGGGTCCTTGGGAGTCACTGTTTGACCAGGAGTCCCTGCCATGCCCCTGCCACCCTGGGTCCCCCGGCCCCAGCTGTGAGAGCCTGGTGGAGGCGAAGTGTCAGTCAGGCTGGACGCCCCCCGGGGCATAGGGGCAGGTCTGGGCCGGGGAGCTGGGCTGTCCCAGGCGTGGGCTCTGCCTGAACTCCTTGCTGTTCTCTGTGACCTGCTGCACAAGCAGGTCTGAGTCTTGGACCTTCTGGGATAAGAAGCAGGGGATTGGCCCCAATGGGCTGGCACTGCCATGGTCTGAGTCCAGTGTGGAACCAACCCTAAGTGCCCACCACACTCGGCCACTTACAAGTCTCCCGGGAGCTTTTAAAAGGGGCCGATGCCATGGCCCCACCAGACCACAGAGCAGTATCTCTGGGTGCGGACACCTGGAGGAAGAGACCTCGAGGGACGGCTGCAGGGGGCCTCTTGGGAGGTGAGCAGTGGGCAGCCAGGCAGGCCGTGTTCCAGACTGGGGCTGGGCAGAGCTGACAGCTGAATGGGACGTGTGCTGGGCCGGCTGGGTGAGGGAGTGCACGGAGGTCACCCTACCGTGCCAGGCAGGGCTTGGGGGAAAGGGGGGCCCATTGGCAATTCCCTGAGCAGAAGCCTGACTTCAGAGCCACACGGGCCCAGCAGGGGTGGGGTAAGCTGGGCAGGAGATACACAGGGCACAGGCCCCAAGGTGAGGGGCGGAGCTGGGGCCAAGGAGTGTCAACAGCCAGCCACGTGAGCGCTGCTGCGCCAGGGCTGGCCGTGCACCCCGAGCGAGCGCAGGACATGCTGACGGGGTCAGCAGACAGCGCCAGGCCCTCTAACCTGCGCGGCCCTGCAGAGGGCCTGCTGGGCGCGGACGGATGGCAGGCGGGAAGGGGGCGGGGAGTTACTCACTGGGATGACAGAGAACTGCATGAAGAGGCAGGTGAGCTCCGTCGCGACCAGCACGTAGGTGAGCAGGAAGACCCTGGACTGGCCCAGTGCACCCCTCGCACTGGGGTGCTGGCCCCGGCCCCTGAGGGCCCTGTCTCCCCCCATCCTGGGCCGGCGCTGCAGGGAGCCCCGGAAGGCCTGAGCGGAGACTGCTGATGGGTCAAGGGAGCGGTCGGGGCAAAAGTCCTGTTGGTCGGCGGCGGGGGCTGAGTCACCAGGAGGGCAGGAGGCGATGGCACTGGCCTCACCTCACCGCCAGGAACCGCCTGCAGGAGAGAAGGGTGCTGGCACCCTCGGCCCACTGTCTGTGGAATCCCTTCTCCGGCCACTTGCTGTGGGACCCCAGGCCCCCCTCGTCCACCCACCTGCCAGTGGCAGCTGTGAGCAAAGCCAACCGTGGTACAACCCCTGGTGCCAGTCTCTGGGCTCACAGCAGCCCCAAGTATGCCTGACACAGGAAGGATCAACACCAACATTTTTGGAGGGGAACAGGCCTCTCTGGGATAGGGTGCCCTGTGCCAGGGGAGAAGGGGCTGATTTGGGTCCCTGGGCCTGGGGCTGGCAGTCCCCCGGGGGGGGGGGAGCTGTCAGGGGCCTACCTGCCCCCAGTCTTAGGGGACTCTGAGTGGTTGGGGGAGCTGGGGAGGTGGGCTGGGAGCCAACCTTCCAGGTCTACCCTCAGGGCAGGACCCAGTCCCTTGCACGCTCTGGGCTCCTGCTTCAGCCCTGCCCCTCCGCCCTACCCTTGCAGGGCACCCGCCAGGCCCACCCCCATCAGATTGCAAGGCTGCCAGGGGCCTCTGTGAGCCCGGCGAACACAGGGCTGCGCCTTCCGCTGGAGGCGGCCACGGGCCCGCCAGGCCCGGGGGGAAGGAGCGGGCGGCGTGGAGGGCGCTCCCCCCCGGGGTGTGGAAGTGGGGGCACGGCGCGGCAGCACCTCGAGGCACTCCGGCCCCTCGCTGCGCGATGGTCTCGGGCTTGGGGCCTGCTCGCCGCCGAGGTGACCCGGGCACCCGCCTTTCCGGGGTGAACTCCGCCCCCGCCCCCGGGGCTGGGCCCCGGGCCCTGGCCCCGCCCAGCCCCTGGCACCTGCCTTGCCCGCCTCGGCCTCTCCCCCTTGTCTGGGGACTGGGCCCTGCAGGGGCGCGCAGTCTGATCTGGGGGAGCCAGGGAGGGAGAGAGGCGAGGCAGAGGGGTGGGGGTTGGAAGAGGAATTTGGG